AATGACGCTCAGTGTATTTGCACCAGATACGTTCAGCGAGGCTAAATATTTGCACGGATTAACGATCCCGACCTCCCAATGCTGGCCTGGCTTTTCGTCGTTTGATTAATTGTTGCGTTGCGTTTCAATGCGTTCGGTAGTACCAGCGAGTGCATCGTTATTGTCTGTGCTAACACCATGTAACAAAATGCAGCGCAGCATGCGTGATATCACTTTGGTATCGCAGTAAACTCCGCAGCAAATATGCCAAGACTTGCATATAGATATGCCTTCGGGGTCTTCCGACTTCGGTCGGTGCTGATGCCCAGTGATTCGTTGCAGTCGACTCGGCTAGGGGTGATCGCGAATTTTCATAGCCTGGTTCCTTTTCCCGTGTTCTGGTACTGCGACACAAGCAACTGCTTAGTCCAGGCCTTGCACATATTCTCTCGTTGTTCAAAGTCTTGTACTCATGTTTGTCAATGCTTTGTGTCCGCGACTAAAGTCTGTCGAAGGTCGGAAGCCGCTTCGCGGCCCTTTAAGCTCTTGCGTCACAGCAGTCCGCTGTTACTTCGGTATCTGTTACCCGGACCTCCGCTGTCCGTAGGGGTTGGGCCCGATAGCGTGTATTTCGCACCCTAGCCTGCTTAATCCGGTCCATCGCGCTTGTCCCCGGTCAAGTGTCACGTCTGTAACAACCATTCCCTATCAGTATTATCAAAATCATTTCTTTGAGGCTCTTGGCCTCGGGCCTTCAGCCCATTTCATGCCATCTCTTTCTTTATTCTTTATCCTTTACCTTCATTTACGAAAAAAAAGTGTGACGTAGTGCGTCGCGAAACGTCTCTTTCTATACTCTTTATCATTCACCTTTATTTACGAAAAAAAGTGTGATGTAGTGAATTGATACGTTTGAGTAAGTGCGTCGCGAAACGTCTCTTTCTATCTGTGTTTCGCCACGGTATAGAAAGTTCTCGCTCGTGTAGTTCTCGCGTTTCTCTCGCGATATCCAGGAAATTCTATGGATTTCTCGTGCGTGTTCCGGACGTGTAGTGCTGTGACCTAGTGAAGTGCACACCCGAGTGTCCTCTGGATACGGTCCTCTGCCTTCTCGGATTAGCTGCACCAGCTCCGGTGAGTACTCCCAATTTATTAATTATATAAGAAAAATGTCAAAAGTCAAGATTAGAGCCACGTACAAGGAATCCCCGTTCTCGGATTCTGAAAATACGCGACATTTCACCTTCGGCGGGCTGTTTCGCGCAAACGGTTGGATCTACGGCTTTCTCGTTGTAATTTTTAAAGATCCCGTTGTGCTGAAACTCAGGATAGTCCATAGAAGAGGCTGGCACAGATAGAATTGCCATAGGGCCACGTACATGGAATATCCGGTCTTCGAAATTTCACCATAGGCGGGCTGTATCTCGCAATCGGTTGGATCTACGGCTTTCTCGTTGAAATTTTTAAAGATTCCTTAATGCAAAAACTCAGAATGGTCCATAGAAAAGGCTGGCACAGATAGAATTGCCATAGGGCCACGTACAGGGAATATCCGGTCTTCGAAATTTCACCATAGGCGGGCTGTATCGCGCAAACGGTTGGATCTACGGCTTTCTCGTTGTAATTTTTAAAGATCCCGTTGTGCTGAAACTCAGGATAGTCCATAGAAGAGGCTGGCACAGATAGAATTGCCATAGGGCCACGTACATGGAATATCCGGTCTTCGAAATTTCACCATAGGCGGGCTGTATCTCGCAAACGGTTGGATCTACGGCTTTTTCCGTGAAATTTTCAAAGATCTCTTAATGCATACATTTTTGATACGGTTAAGGGCAGGGAAGGAATCCCCTGTTATGAGTTGAGGAAGTGGTGCCCAGTTGTCGCCCGATGCCCTGGGGAAGTGGCCGTGGAGTATCTCCAAAAGTGTTACGTACCGATTCGCTAAAAATCGCTCTCAAGTTGGTTTGATGGGACGGCTCGAGGGAGATAGAAGAGTTATGGGCTATAAGGATTTCGACCAATCAGATGATCAGAATGATTAGTTCTCGAATTTGGCCATTGTCAAAGCCGTCTGTCTCTGGGCACCGACCGATGTGTCACAAGCTGCCTCGCGCTTCGGTCCTATCTGTTGTAAGTTTTTCTAGCTGTGTTTTGCTACGATATAGAAAGTTCTCGCTCGTGTAGTTCTCGCGTTTCTCTCGCGATATCCAGGAAATTCTGTGGATTTTTTGTGCGTGTTCTGGACGTGTAGTGCTGTGACCTAGTGCAGTGCCCACCCGAGTGTCCTCTGGATACGGTTCTCGGCCTTCTCGGATTAGCTGCACCAACTCCGGTGAGTTGTACGTATTCAGTACTTCGACCCCATTACTTTTCTTATCATGTTGCTTTTATAGTAAAGAGAATTCCATCATTTTTCATTTCCGCTCTAAAAATCTTGTTTGCTATAAGTACTGGTAGCTAAACATTGATATTTACATTCAAAAGTGCAATTTTTGAAGCTCGAGATAATTAAAAATAAAACGTGCGATTTTCATTGAAGATTACAATTATATATCTGTGAATTGGTATAGATCTGGTGATTTTTATATTTAACTGACGTAATTATGCGAACTGGATGGAAAAAAAAGCTACAACTGAGACTCGAACCAGCAACCACGCGCTCGCTAGGCTCAAGCGTTACCGGGTGCGTTAAGCGGCCTGCTTAAATATTGTGACACATTTGGTGCACATACGGACTGACAAGACTCAAAGTCGATTTTTTTGAGAATTTTTTAATATGACATAGAACTGCTTTGGGAAATTATTATTCGTGTTCTCAACTTCACGTACGATGAGTAAAAAAGATTACAAAAGTCCGATTGTTGGAGACTCTCCTTGTAAGAAATATTCTAATATTCCGTTACTTTTGCAATATTAGTCTTTGCGACAGTCTATGCTAATTATTAAAAAAATAATAATATAATGCGTACAGATTGTAGAAAGTTTTGGTACGAAGCTGAAAAAGTTATATTTAATTTGTTATTCGCAATTTAATTGTCTAAACGACTAACGAGTGACTGACTAATGATATACGAATGATACGAACCTAGTATTAGGTGTTAAATGTTCTTACATTGAAAAGCATAAAATATAATCTTATCAACCGAAGTTCGTCGTTTAAACAATTAAATTGTTAATAACAAATAAAATACAACTTTTTCAGCTTGTTACCAACATTTTCTGCAAGCTGTACCGTCTGTAGGTACTATCATTTTTTAACTAGCTACCTCGTGAACGGCTAGAAGCGTAGTGGCGTAAAGAGTATATGTATATATACAGGGTGTTCCGAAACTACCTGACCCGGTCAGTATGGCGGTGTTCGAGAGGCTTCACTGATCCAAAAAAATTCTCTTTTCATAATTCCCGCTAAAATGCGTATACAGGGTGTACCAAAATTAACTGACCAACGGGGTATGGTGGTGTTCGGGAGGCACCACTGATCCCGAAAATGACCTTCCTTTTGTCCGGAAGCTCTTAGTTTTTAAATGGGAGTAGGTCAAAGTTGACCAATCAGAACGAGGCGTCAAGAGAAACGTAGACACCTGCGAACTCTGAGTTTTCTTCCCTCGCTTTTGTTTCTCGGTGGCTCGCTTGTTTCTTGTTTCCAATAGGCATGTCTTCAGCTGACGTCATCCTGCCCGAAGCCACCGAGAAACAAAAGCGAGGGAAGAAAATTCAGAGTTCGCAGGTGCCTACGTTCCTCTTGACGCCTCCCTCTGATTGGTCAACTTTGACCTGCTCCCATTTAAAAACTAAGAGCTTCCGGACAAAAGGAAGATCATTTTCGTGATCAGTGAAGCCTCCCGAACACCGCCATACCCACCGGGTCAGGTAGTTTCGGAACACCCTGTATATAGCGAGTCGAGCCAAGCGTCTGGGCTGGCTTAGCTCTTCGCCAGCAAACTTGGTTATATATACTATATGTATGCATATGTATACATATGTATACTATATGTATGCATGTGGTTCTGACACGACGATACTATGCTACAGGCCCCGCAAATCGCTCACGTTACTAAGCCCTACGGCGAGGAATAGCTACCGCCATCTATTGGATTCTCAAGATAGTAAAATTTAAATTGAGAAGAGCCGCCAGCCGTATCGCATAACGAAGCGGGCTCATCAAAGATTTTGCTAAATCATTTAGAAATGAAGGAGAATAACGGAAAATACGTTTCCTCGCTTGTGACGTCACACAATATATATAGCTAATCCAGCTAGAAAGCACGAAGCGGGCTCACAGGCCCCGCAAATCGCTCACGTTACTAAGCCCTACGGCGAGGAATAGCTACCGCCATCTATTGGATTCTCAAGATAGTAAAATTTAAATTGAGAAGAGCCGCCAGCCGTATCGCATAACGAAGCGGGCTCATCAAAGATTTTGCTAAATCATTTAGAAATGAAGGAGAATAACGGAAAATACGTTTCCTCGCTTGTGACGTCACACAATATATATAGCTAATCCAGCTAGAAAGCAGCCTTAATAATATATTTTGTTAAATTACAAAACTCCATTCAAACCGAAATAAAAGTTATAAGCACTCGTTGAATTTTGTGTTTGGAATCAAATTATTGCTATTCTAGATCATGAAAATCCGTCGTCCTACTCTCCGCATCTCTTGGTAGATGAATGGTAGATGTTACAGGAAGACGTAGGACACTCACAAAATATGTATGTGTGTAAATGAGATTAAGAATAAACGGATTAGGTTTACAAAAAAAATCAACTAATAATAATAACGAGACGAAACCATGAAAGACCATATTTCAATCAAAGACATATATCAACTACCAAACATATCAAGGGCTCTCATAAATATCAGCTGTGTGATTTGAATCGCATTGTCGGTCGCGACTTAGTGATCCTGCTGGTGTTTTAAATAATAAAAATCGTCATTTCTTCTTGACGATTATTTTTATATTACACAGGCGTATCCTTGTGAATGAAGACGGGAGAGGAGAAAAAATATTATTACAACATATAATACTACTTTCCCATATATATCTATTTCATCCTTAGATTTCTCTCGAGTACATGAATTACAAAAATTAATTTACCAAGTAACCAACCAACAAATAACCACCCACGTCATTCATTAAAATATCTGGATGAGTTCTATCATCAAGTACTTGATACGATCGTAAAAAATTTGAAAGTAAACGAATATTCATCACGTCACATCTTTGTTTGAGCATGACATAGACTTCTTGTAAGGGTTCGCGATAGGCATGAAATATCACAAAAGGTCTTGAAGTTCCAAGAAATGGTAACAATCCTTTCACAATATTAAGAGGATGTTCCTTGGCTGCCAGAATGGCTAAACCCTCAACTTTACAACTCTTTAATAAGTCCACTGCACTCTGTGTCTCTGACAACCACTTTGGTTTTTTCTTAGGAACCATCGAACTCACTGTTGCATCAGAATGTTTTCGTTTCAACAGATTTGGACTGTCGTTACATTGAATTTGTGCTTCGGGAGAATCAGGATCGACCAATTTTGAAGAGTCTCCGCTTGCATCTCTGCTTCCAAAACTTTCTTTAGATTCCATAGCATCCTGATAATACATTCGCATTAAACTGTAAATGTTGACGGTAGATAATCTATTTATTTGCTCGTTGGAAAAATTCATTGCACGAATCAAAGTTGTTTGGGCCATATTACCAGGATGCAAGTAAACCAATCTGCCGGATGTCTTGGCACCGATTCTAGTCAACAAGCTAGCTGCAGCTAAACCTTGAGATCCACTGTCGTACAGTAAATAAAGTCCATCAGATTTCACATCGCAATAGGACAGTATTTGAGCAAGTGAATCCATTCGTAAACTTCCAATTTTAACATGATCCTGCTGAAAGTATATTTCCTGTAACAAATGGATAGTTGGCTTATGGATGGTCAAGTACAAAAAATATTTGCGCTCCTTTTTCCTCAAATATTTTTCTTGCGAATATTTCGTCTTTGCTGAAAAAGTTTGACTGTTTTCTATAAGGCTACCGACTATTTCCCTTCCAGACTTGCCCGCTTCACGTAATTCCATAATTTCTTGTGTTGAAAGCTTTTGCGAAGTACCATCGTCTGTTATTTTTCTATTGTCCATACCACTTGGAAGCAAATCCTTGAGATCATCCAATGATTCAGCTGCATGCACTTCCTCCAGTCTATAACTTTTTCCATTTGTCAACTTTTTATTACTATTAGTAGGTATCATTTTAAATGTTGTCCAAAAGGGCTTTCCAATGATTGCACTCATCTCAACCCGCTCCTTTCCTAATGCTAACATGTTGCCGCCACCATTCTCTGCAGGTAACTTGTACAATTTTCGATATTTTTGTCGCTGTACAATGACATAGCTGCCTACAGCGATAATGTCCTGCCTCAAAGTATCCGCAGCAGACATTGTCTTCTACACAGTCTACAGCACGTAACAATAACAATTTTTCAATGCTCTCTCTTCTCTACAAGCTATGTATATGACAAATTATTGCAAACTATTAGGTTACGTTAAGTTAGGGCTACGTCTACGTCTCCTGTCTCTTTCTACCATTGTTTAAGGCAACTTCACAGCCTTTACGGACTACAGTCGTAATAATCGCGTATTTACTCTGGCTATTTTCTGCGGATCAGATCTGATTCTTTGTGGTAAAATCGACCCTAATAATCTGTGCCATAATTACTTGTTTCGTATGATTTAGATTAAATCTGTTTGTTCTGGCATTTTTTATGTACTTGGTTTGTTCGAAAATAAGTCGAGACCTCTTTTGATCGAGGCCACTGAGGATATAGGAATACTGAAGGCCGTACGCACGGTCTCACATACAGGAGGTCGATTGTGTAACTTAAATGTAGTGAAAATACGAAAAGTGAATAGCTGGTAACCAATCGTTGTACTTGTCTTCTTTTGAACCTAATACGCAATTGGCTAACAGCTATTGTTCTTTTCGAAATGAACTGTGCATGTGGTGTACAAGCTGTGCAAAAATATTGTCCCGTCGACATAACAGCGGGAACGTATCTGGGTTCCTGTAGTTTTATGTATCAAATAATAGTTGCGATGAGTCTTTTAGAATCACTCTTCACTGCGGTGAAATGATCTGTAAACCTTTGTAAAAATAACAATAAAAATATTTCGCAGTTTTCGAAATAAAATATGTGTGCCTCTATTTCCGGTTATGTTATGTTGGATTATGTTGTTAGCCCTCCCCGTGCGCAGTGCTTTATCGCACAATCAGCTTCACTCAGTTTAAACTTTTTCAGAGACTGTACAATGTGTGATAGAGAAAGCGTACTCCATTGACCGGTTTCCTCGTTATTTCTCTTTGCACGCCCCGCACCAATGCTGTACGTGTTTCAGTATACTTACATTTCAGTTATTTCTATACTGCTTTTTATTCTCGTAGTTGCTCGTAGTCGCTTGTAGTCGATGAATATGGCGGCATCGGTAGTCAAAATTTTTCTGAAACACAGGTGGATATATTCTACGTATACGATACACAGTACCACGTTATCGTCAGTCCAAACCTTAAGTAGTATCTTAATGATATAGATGATAGAATAATTGACTTTTTCAGTTGACAATACCAACATAACCTAACTTAACGTAGCCCTTGTTGTAAATTTCAGGTCAACTAGACGAATTTTGGGCGAAATTAAAAATATCAAAAATTCCTTTTTACCCGTATGCTGCTGCATTCAATGTCATTCGTATGGAACAACGCCTATATTTCTCAAACAAAGAAAAGTTAACCAAGAAAGGGTACTAATGCAGCACCCGTTCCGGTTTAAAATCATTTATTGTGCATACATGTTTTCTATTGTTTACAGGAACAAGAACAACATAATCCTTTGGCATTAAAATTGAAGAAAAAGAATACATTGGTTGTTGATATATGGAAAAATATGACAGTGTCTGATATTGCCAATGTTATGCAAAGAGACATTGCAGATGTATTCGAAGCATTATCACTTTCTGATCAATTTTTTCATTACAAAAAAAATAAACCCATTGAAAATTCTGCTGTGATACAAGAAACGGTCAAGAAACTTGGTGCAAAATTTAAGATTGTATCACATCCCACTCGCAAGGATGACAAGAAACAACAAGAGGATATGGATGTTGATGCCGTTAAACGGTAACGCATGTTACTGACTGACTGACTGACTATATGTGCCAATAGATATAATAATAAATTTGTCAATTTAAACAGGACCGAAGCTAAATCTCATCTCCTGATTAAAAGACATCCAGTGGTTACCGTAATGGGTCATGTCGATCATGGCAAGACAACTTTACTCGACTCAATACGTAACACATCTGTAGTAAAGTCAGAATTTGGTGGCATCACGCAGCACATTGGAGCATTTAATGGTTCGCTCGACATTGTACTGAATCGAAGGATTTAACAAAATACGGGGATGCACCTGAAGTAACTTTTCTCGATATATGAATTCAGTAACATTAAATACCGGGGAGAGGATGACATTTTTGGATACACCGGGACATGCCGCATTTAGCGCAATGCGAGCACGGGGAGCCAGTGCGACTGATATCGTGGTTCTAGTGGTGGCCGCCGATGACGGGGTAATGGATCAGACGGTGCAGAGTATAGAAATGGCAAAAGAAGCAAATGTTCCAGTGATAGTGGCCATCAACAAGATTGACAAGCCGGAAGCCGACATTGTAGGTAAACGAGAAACAAATCCCGATACTCGCAACTTACTCGACGTTATAGATTTAATGTAATTTTAGGAAAGAACTCAGCAAATGTTGGCGCAACATGGAATTCTGGTTGAAGACTTGGGTGGCGATATTCAGAGTATTAATATCTCCGCGTTAAAGGGTACAAACTTGACTAATCTAACCGAAGCCATAGCCGCTCAAGCGGAGGTAATGGAGTTGAAAGGAGATCCAACTGGATTGGTAGAAGGCATCGTGATAGAATCCACTAATCATCCTGGACGGGGAAAGTTGTCCACTGCACTGATTCAGCGCGGTACACTCAGAAGGGGAGCGGTTCTTGGTAATTGTTTGGCATTACCTGGTTATAGAGCACATTAATTACCATCTCCATTAACTCAACTAAACTCATCATTCAAATTATTTCTAATATCAGTCAGCGGTCTCGCGTGGGCCAAAGTACGATCAATGTTTGACGATTCTGGTAAGCTGGTCAACGAGGCAAAATTAGCCGAAGCGGTGCAAATAATTGGATGGCGTGTGTTACCGTCTGCGGGCGACGAAATCATCGAGGTTGAAAACGAGAAACGCGCGCACCAAGTTCTCAGGTACAGGGAAGCTCGATTATCTCATCAAAAATCGTTGGAACAACAGGAAGCGGCCGACAAAAAACATCAGGACTATCTTACTGTTAGTATATAAAAACATTGATAGATTAACACTATTTCCCCAAAATTGTCAAGAGTCATAAAGAGCTCACATTGATTTCATAGGAGTACAAGACTCTGTTGGAAAAAAGAAGGGCGATGGGGCGACGCAAATTGAAGCGCGAAGGTCCTAGAGAAAAGGAGATAAAAGATGACAACGTCCCCAAGGTTAACGTCGTTATTAAGGGCGATGTCGACGGTTCCGTCGAAGCTATACTCGACGTTCTCGAGACTTATACAAACGGCAATGACAAATGTCGACTCAACGTTATTCATTATGGCGTCGGTCCCGTCTGCGAAACGGATGTCGAATTGGCCGAAACTTTTGACGGTGACTTGACATTTTCCTCTGCAAATTGCGAAATCACGTGGTACGATACACAGACCTGCAATTCCTTATTTCTATAAATTGCAGCTATTATCTACAATTTCAATGTGAATGCACCAAAGACAATTGAGGATCTGGCAAGGAAGTGTGGCGTCCAAATACGACCACATAATGTCATATATAAACTCGTGGATGATCTAAAAACTGAAATAAATAATAAACTCCCAATGACGACAGCGGAGGAATTACTAGGTAGAGTGTGGCACCACGTTGCAGTGTGAAGTAGTACGGAATTATTCGAAATTCAGTTTTTTATTACAACACATATACATGTCGATAGGTGAAGCCAACGTGTTACAAGAATTCCAAGTGTCCGAAGGTAGAAAGAAAATACCTGTGGCAGGTTGCAGATGTACAAAAGGTGTTCTCAAAAAGTCCGAAATGTTTCGTTTGATGCGTGAAAATGAAATTATTTATACAGGTAAGCTGACTAATAATACATATATATACACACACGGTATAAATACCAAGAAAACGGAAAATCAGCGTAAACCGTATCTCAACAGGTAAACTGAAATCCATGAGGCATCTAAAGAATGAAGTGGACTCGATTAAGAAGGGAGTAGAATGTGGTCTGAGACTAGATGATCCAACAGTGTTATTTAAACCTGGCGATACGCTCTTGTGTTTTCGAATTTATGAAAAAAAACAAGAGACCGATTGGGATCCAGGATTTTAATTTAAACGCCTATTTAAAAGGTCCTGCAGTCAGTCGCACGTGTGCAACAAGTGATAGTGTAGTAATCATTGTACATAACACGTACCTGCCGAATAATGACCATTTATAAATTACCCGACATTATTGCAAAATGAGTAGGTAATAAAAATCAAGATTAAGTACAAATTTGTGTATTGTTGCTCGTGATTTCACGTCCGCAAAAATGCATAGACACTCATACACACGCGCATGCGCGTACACTCATCCTCCCTGCCTCCCTCCGTTATGCACGTAGTACAGCACAGTTTCGAGAGACACAGAGAGTTATATTAAGCTTTCGCATTCGTCACGAATTAAATACAAAGGCCAAAATAATACTTGTGGTGATACTTAACGAATATTCGTCAGATTGGGTGACAAGTTCTTTACATAATTTTTGTTTCACAGTAACAATTTGCTCTACGTAAAACAACACGCGCAATCGTTTGTTTCGAACAGAATAACGCAACCATCTAGGTCGCGTCCACCTATCGACCCGTACATCCTTTTTTCTTCTCTTTCCAAAATTCCAACTCTTATTTTGTTACGTTCACCCACACAAAACCAATTGTCTATTAATATAACAATTACAAAATGGCCTCAAATAATAAGCTGTACAACAAGCCTACTTACACGATATGGCCTCGAATGCACCACCGCAATGTATATATTCAAATGTCGCGTAAATAAGAATTTATATTTCTATATCTATAGAACATCCGCAACAAATACTTGTGCATGCCATCATAGTATATAAAGCATTACGCTTCACAAGCCTTTCAACTCTATTGCAGAACTACCTTCTTCAGGCGGTTACGTTTGTTGTTGTTAATAATTTCTATAATGATGCTCATAAAAAGAGATATATACTCGAATTGAACTGCGGGACGTATCGCATCGTCTATTAAAATTCTTGAAAAAGTTGAGCGAAGAAAATTGCTCGAATAAATTCGAAAAGAGCAGAAATACAAAAGAATTGTCAAATGCCTATATGTATATTCTAATCCGTGGTAGGTGCTAAAGTACAGATATTCTCTCGTATTTGTAGGCCATATCGCACCGAGCATTGCAATATCGAATGATCCGACGACTGCACGTAAAGCAAGCAAGGTGGATTGCGCGATTATGACGCATAGGTCTCCCGAAATCGACGCTGAAGATGTTGATATGCCGTGAGAACGCCACGTTTCTTCTTCTGAAGACGGCATGGTGCCGTTATCGCCGTCGCCGTCGCCGCTGCCGCCGCCGCTTCCTGTCCGGTTAACTGTATCAGCTTTGTATCGATGGGCTCTATCAGAATTTCGTTATCGGGATGAACGAAGAAAGCAATGGAGTGTCGTCCACGGCCACAATGCTCGGGCACGACAACACGATGACGCAGCGCCGGCAGTTGATCGTTTGTCCAGCAGGCCAGGATATCACCGGTGTTCACCAAAATGGCTCCTGGCAAATGTCCCACACGTCCCCAGCGTTCACCGTGTGGCGTCTGAACCTCGAGTCCACCCTCGCAATCCTGCAAGTGAGCCAACAACATTTAGAGAATCAAGTGAGCAGCATAACAAAGAATGAAAACTCGCGCCACACACGAATTGAAAGCGTGCGAGTCCAGACTTTACGTTAATGAGGGCGCGCAGCAGCAAGGCTGACGATAAGACGATGGCGACGTACCTGAGCTAGCAAAGTAAATGTCCCGTAGTCTTGGTGCGCTCCGCAGCGTGATAATCCAGGCACCGGGACACCCAAAGGCGGATAATAGAGAAGTCTTAGAGTGGAAACGTTATCCTGGCCCAACATCTGACTGTGCTTCGAAAGCAGGAAGTCCTGTGATTTGTTCAGTCCCACTGCGAGGGCCTGTAATTGAAAATTCGTTTAACGAGTCGTATTCGGCAGTGAGAGACGCACGCACAATCTTTAGCTATAACATATTGGAGGTTTCTAGGCAGGTATATATAACATGTATAACATGTGCGCGGGAGTGGAGTGGAGTGGAGTGGAGTAGAGTGCCCACACATTCCAGATACATATGAAATTGCGTTTTATCCTTGAATAAGAAATTTTGTTGTAGTATACTCATGGTAATATAAATGTCTGTCTTTTTGTGCTTTTTGAATGACGATTAGATTGGGCTCTTATTTAAAAATTAAGTGTCGTCACTTTAATCTTAATTCGAGAGAATCTAGATTCTAGCGTAGATTTGATTTCCTTTGAGTTCCTTTGTATCTACTGCAGATTACATACAGTGAGCAACATGGCCGATAATTGTTTGAAGTCCCGGGCAAGTTCGTCGACAGCCGACCTGAACCCGGGCACCTCCGCTTCCGGGAGCACACCACCGCTTCCGGTCACATTGAAAGTATGTCGCGCCTCCTCGTCGTCCTCCTTAGAGAACCTGCTCGTGACACAATTTCAAACGACAATTTAGATCGTCGTTCGAGCCGGGCCACGAGGGGCTACTACAGCAGCTTTAGAAGAATATTGCACTGTTACTCACTCCTCGAGTCCAGGCCTTACGTAGCCGTGATTCGATGGCAATGTCCGCTTATACTTGGCACGCTCCTCTTCCGGTAGCTCGCAAAAGGAGTCCAGGGCCCTGTAGACCGCCTTCATCTACAATCAAAACATAGACACGTACGATGTACTATACAGAGAGATTCCATTGAACCTTGCAACTCTTAAGGACTGTCTCCATCCTTCATCACCCATGTTCCAGTGCGTAAATGCCAAATTTGTAAATACTTTCTTTTCGAAACCAAAGGACGGATATTAAATGGCATTTTTCTGAGATCTTCTCAGCAGTCCCGTGTCTTCTATTTTACAATGACGACACGATGAGGTGCGAAACTATTGGCTATGTAGCGGTAAGACGCGACGGGATCTCGTCGAGTTAACTTCTCATTATTTTGAGAGCACGGGTGGTAATCAATGTCGATAGCGTCGATCGGAAGCACCTGTAGAAAGAGCTGGCGATGGCATAGCTCGTTTTCGTAAAGTCTCGCGCGCCGCTATCCGCCTGGATTAGAGCAACGAAAGTGCCGAATTGGCCATCGACCGTACATGAGTCGCGCACGACCCACGCGGTCCGTGTCTCTTCGCCAGTAAGTAACATAAGCAGCCGAAACGACACAAAATACCGGATTGGATCTTTACCATTGATATCAGAACAGAAGAGCATTATTATCTGCGCAAATTGAACAAATTGAACAAATTCAAATTGCACGATGATTCAAGGACTCTCGGCCAATCGTGGCTTTGGAAACATGTGTGGCGCAATATGTTAAACACTCGTCCCCACTCAAAAACACAAAATCCTGAATCGATCAATAATCAAGAAATCATCGAAAGTAGAGAGCCTGAGGATTAAATGGCAATGACGGAACAACCGATGAGTTTTTAATTACGAAGATCCATCCCGATTAATTACGAAGATCCCTCGTCGATCCATCTGACTCTGGGAGTCACGGGCTGTTAACGTGACGTCTATCAGGGGCCTTCAAGTTACAGAGGATCGTCGTTCCTTTAATTAATTAATTATCTTCTCGGCAGACAGAAGCTGCAGAGAGGAAGGGTGTATATAAAATTTTTGCTTTCGCCGGGATAAAACTAGACAAAAAAATATATGGAGCCCTTAAAAAGTTGAGTTTATTAAACTCAACTTTTGAGAGAAAAAAGAGATAAAAATGGTAAGAAGTACCTTGCAGTCGGGAATTCCATGATTCACCAGAAGAGCCAATCCCTTCTCGGAGAGGGCTCGTACCAATTTCGAACCAACTTGTTTGACGACGCCCTTTTGTGGACACCTTTCGGTACCTGAAAAACATCAGCAATTAATTAAGAGTCGTTCCTTCAATTATTACGAAACAGTTAATGGTACCTCCTCGCCAATGAAGAGTACGAATGAACACACTGCGATTGTAGAAGCAGAGAGCACCATGTACGCGCACCAATTAGTCAGCTTAAATACATCGACTAACGGTAACGCGCGATCAAAAACTACAAACGCAATATTTTCAAATTCTTAATATGTTTTTACGTATAACTTAAGGAGTGCGCGTAAATATTTTCATCAAAAAATATTGAAATTTCCACACGTTATTATTCTTCGCGTCGGCTGATATTTTCCGCGTGCGATCAGTCGGTGTACACGATTTCGCAAATATGGTTGATCTGAATCAAAAATAAAAAATATCCTCATTAACTACTTACATGATATTAGCTGTAGCGTGACAGAGCTTTTTCTCTTTTTCGTTTTAGGTTACGAGAAAAAAATTCCTCAACTTTTTTCGCCGTTTTCGGAGTTATAATGCGTGTTATGATTATTAATAAATATTGCAAAAAAAATGTATTGCCAAAATCGTCCGTCACGTCTAAACTGGTATTCCTCTGAACATGCGTACCAAATTTCAAGTCGATTCATGAAGTCGAATCACAGCCCGAGATATCCTGTACACCGCTTTGAAAAATATAGTTTTGAGCAAAACGCGTTTAAAGTTTGAGCGCTAGTCGTCTACCTGCGCGTCAAATTCTTCCTTCGCTACAAGCGCTATAACTCAAAAAATACTTTGAATATCTACATGGAACCTTTTGCATATTATTCTAAACACTCCAAAGTGTTTTCTAAAGACAAACAAATTTCGAAAATTTGAAAATTTCACAGTAGCCTAACCCCTTAATGGATTTCGATTGGTGAGGATCGCCAGTACTCTGATACGCAGTATTAATCGCGACTAACTGTAGCGCGTTTCAAGTAGTATCGCTCCGTCGATCCTTCATTTTTCTTATTTTACCGAATCTTTCTTGGATTAAAGATGCAGCATGCGTCGATCATACACTCCCGCGAAGGTACGTCGCGTCGGGATCAGACTCTCTTTCTCGCGATTAGTTTCCATAAACGTGCGTATATCAATATTTCCCGTCTAAAGGTGATTCATGTTTCAGACGTTTAACTGGCAAATATTTTGACGGAGATATTCCTCAGTGGAATGAGATTGATTTAAAGAATATGCAGTGGAGTGGGGATCCAGCTATTGGATATAGCTGAAGGAAGAAATAGTAGGTCGAACAGTTCCAAGCATCAGTTGATGACGCAAGCGTACTATGCGTACCATGCGTACTATGTGTATACTGTATCACACTGACAATGAGCCTTGTGCAACTACGTTAACACGCTTGGCCCGTGCAAATGAGAGTTAGACTCGCGAGGAAGTGCCAATCAAGTTGATTGAGTTACAAAGTGCACAGGCGGCTTCTAGGACAAGTGGTAGGCGCGTGCCATGGGATCTTTAGTTGGAGTCTAAAAAGGGCCAGGCGTGTTAACGTCTCTCGTCGAACAGTAACCGCCGTGTGCGTCAGGACGACGATGACCTCAAACGAAGGGGAGACCTTGCTCGTAAAATGTTCTAAGCATTAGTCTATCGAGGATAGACGTGAGATTTGCATATAGAAAACAAACGGCAACCAGTCCTCCTCGCGCTGATCTCCTTCGGAGCCGGACGGAGATTTGTAATTTGGATTCGCGGTTATATCGTCGTACATATGTTAATCGAACAGAAAGGCAATCGTCTGGAACACTCATGACCGTGCAGTTATAAGCCATACGCGCGACCGAATTCTGCGTTCCTGAATTATTTTTAACGCGCCTTTGACGCTGTCAACTTCTTCAACTCACAACTTCTTGGACACGCGCTACGCGAAAGTCGTCGTCTGTGGAGTCTCACCGCTCGGTCGCTGTTCTTACATAGCAATAGTTACACAGCTCCGAGTCGAAATTGTCTCTTGCCAATTCATCAGAGACAATTAATGAATATATGTATAATATACCGTTGTGGTGAATTTCATTTTTATCTACATATATATATATGTATTGTATATCGGTCCAGTTGCCCGCTGGAGCGAGATAGATATTGCGGTTTGGTCCCAATAATTGAGAAAGCCACCGATGATCTTTTTACATTTCATTCGTTTCCCGAAAAATAATGAGTAAAGGGGTCCATTTTTGGATGGATCCTCGAATCTCGGTATGCCTATAAGTATGCTGCCGAATAACGGTAAGACACTTAAAAAGTAGCAGAGTTGATGAATATGTCGGGTAGAGAAATTTACATTGCATTATGCCGACAATGCAAGATGTGTGTAGCGCTGCACGATATCGTTTTTATAATTGAACGTTGAACGGCAGTCGATATTATTGTCTGCGAAAAGTAACGCTACGTTACGCTAGGTGTAGTGCTCTACCAATGATTAACTTGTACAATTCTACAGACACGTCGACCAGAGGCGCGACACGCGCTCGTTGGAAGTGACGCTCGTAAATTGTCATATCTTTTGTCCCCGAACGGTGAATCGTTACGTAAAAGCTGTAAATTTATGCGATGATGTGTCGCTAGACACTACGAGTGTATCGAGATGATGATGTGCGAAAACAGGCCCGTGAAACAATTGCTGAGCCCGGAATTTGTGGGAAGCTATTGCACAGCAGCTATATTGGGCATCCGTGAGTCTATGTACCTCCCACCGCGCTGCTATGACCCGCGGAAATCCTTCGTTCTGATTGCTCCCACTTAAATGCTTCTCATTTAAAAGCTATTGCGAATTTTGGCAAACGGTTTGCGGAAGGGTACTCAGGGCACCTCCAGCCATCGGCCACTTTCCGCTCCAAAAGTAGTTCTGGGATACCCTGCCTGTATATAGCGTAACAAAATGTCAAGCATGCCTATGTGTGCACATTCGTTGGAACTCTTATGAAGATGTCGCAGTCATCTTAGTCGTCATTGGCATCGTTATCGAGCAATGAATCACAATCAATACCGGCAACGTAGATTCTCGAAACGATTGCTTCGCTCCTGATAGCGGCAGACCGTCCCCCGTCTTGGTTATGTATACTATCCTATACAGTCCGACCGCAACATTAAAGTTTCACAATCAGATTAACCGATAAGAAGAAATAAATATATAGTATACTTAAGCATCGCATACTATACTCAACTGACGGTCAGTGTAATTATACCTAATGGAATAGTACCTAATATATTTATATTTACGTTACCAAACAACGTGTGGTAGAATTTCTAACATTAAAATTCCGTATCTGTCAAAATCAGATTCTGATGTCGCAACACCACCAGTGTATAGCGAAGATGTAAGTATGTATAATATAATATGTACAACGGCGTGTCGAAATATAGGCAGAGACAGCCTCGATAAGAGACGATCTCGATGCGTTATGAGATTTCGATGAATCGTACGTCGTGCTGCGATATATCAACGTACGTGCATATGTGTCCAGGCATGCGTGTCCGGGGACAGAGAAGCACGTTCATGGACAAACATTTTTTGCAATTCGATATTTCAACGTCTTTGTTCCGTAACGCACGTTTATTTCTTATTGCCGCTGTGACTTCCGCCGCTCGAATATATCCCATATTAAAGTTTGTGCCACCATCCTCTTCTCTCCCACGCGGCCCCCCCCCCCCTTGTCAGTCTCAATGAAGTAACAATTTTAAAATCGTCTCAAAGCGCGCGCTGTTGCTCCGCACAAAACTTATTTACGCCAGATTTCTCCGTCCGAGACATTCTGAAAAACCGATTATTTCAATTCTTCCTAATCGTTTGAAATAATCGATAAGACCGCACACTCGATCAAACGATTATCCGAGGCGTATTTCGAGCGCTGATATCACGGAGCCCCATATCGCAGATTGGCATTGAATCGCGTTTCCTGTCGGCCCCGCGCAGACGCGTGTGCGTCGCCAGAGACATTCCTGAGCCTGTCCCTAGGACGACAGCATGTTGTGCCTCTTTCGTCGGCCGCTGCTTTTCTTCCTAATTTAATAGCTTGTGTCTTGATCCGTGTGTCCAGTAGGTTCATCCGCTGAACGAAACCCCGCGTCCCCATGCAGAAGTCCGTCCACTCGTAGTCTTGCACTAATTGAATTGGCGCGCACTGCACACACGCAGGGATACGCCTTGAGCCTCGAGCCTCGAGCCTCGAGCCTTTAGCCTTTAGCCTTTAGCCTCTGGTTCCGTTGTTCCGTGAGGGGAGGGCCATTCGCTCTCGCCGCCATATACAATACAGTAACGTCACGAGGCTCTCCTCCTGCGGTAGCAGGATCGTGTTACACGCATCCGACATTACGACGGGGTATTCAACGTGCGAGTAGCGACTAATTTTTGTCCATGCCAAATCCAGGCCACCCCTCTACTTTTGTATTTTTCATACATCGACAAATGCACACACGAGGAAGCCACAAATAATCACGAATGATTCTACTCTTTGATAGTGAAATAATGGAAAGAAATGTAAAAGAAGAGGAGGAGAAAAATAGAGACAAGTACGAGCACCCGAGATTAAAATGTCGAACAGTAGATCTGCAGTCGTGGAAATGAAAAGGATCTAGCGCATTCTACATATGTGCAAGTGTGAACGTTGGTTTTGCAAGTTTTGCAATGGTCACGGCCCAGCGCTGTTAGGCTGCTACAGGCTGCTACAGGCTGCTACAGGCTGCTGCTCTTCCCGCGTCTTCCAACAATGTGCCGTCGCTTCACGAGTGCGCCAGGCGGCTCGCTGCTACTTGCATTGCTGCATCGGTAATAGAGGCGCAACACAATGAGTGAGTACCCCGCGCATCGACGACTGCAGCGCAGGTATCATTCGAAGAAACAAGGCCTATCCCAGGCTACAGAAGCAGAGAACGGTGCGGAAGGAGACTCGCATAGTAACTGCTACATGGTGTCTCGAAAGTAAGAGAGCGCGAGCATCCTCGGGGCATTGTGCAGTTGTTTTTCTATTTCGAGATCTCGCGGAAAATAATCGACTAGAAGGAAGGCGTGCCGATGCGACTCTAAACGACGCAACTCATTGCGACTCGCGATCTAGAATTCGGATCCCATTTGTCTCTGTCACTGAGGAGAAGAAAAGAGAGCGCAACGCTCACGGTATAATAATTATTATGAACTTTCCAGTCTTCTGCCGTGTGTCCCAAACTCGAAGAATATCGGCTGAGATTCGATTCATTCCGCCATTCTCGGAAACTTCGAGAGATAATATACCGATTGCCCGTTTAACGGAAGTTTTCTCTACTTTTTGATAACAGCACCGGAGTAATCACGAGGAAAAGAGAGAGAGAGAGAGAGAGAGAGAGAGAGAGAGAGAGAGAGAGAGAGAGAGAGAGAGAGAGATTGAATCGAAAAAGTCATAGACATAGGACGATTGAAGAATATAAAATATAAAATAGCGCTAATAAATATAGAGTAGATCGACACTGTCTCAAAAAATGTTTTTTACGCACGCTGTGTACCGTGTGCGTAGGTACGCATGTGTGTAGTCGGCTCCCACGAGTTCAATGTGTTCTCCTGACAGTTCGCAAACAATGCAATCCTTAGCAAATTAAACGCGGCTGGCTTTCCATATGCGAAAAATAGAAAAATAAAATATATTTCAGTGAAAAACAAAACACATGCATACTTTGTAACAAACATTTTACGCAAAACGATGTGTGACTTGCTAGGGACTTCATGATATTCGATCTGTTAAATAAAATACATTGAACTCGTGGACTCTTAGAGACCCTTAGAGGCCCTTACTCATACCTCTCTTTTAGCGTTAAGAGACGTCTTTTATCGACTGCTATCTGCTGTCTTTTAACGACCAATAGACGTCTCTTAACGCTAAAAGAGTGGTATGAGTAAGGGCCTACATGTATATGCAATGCATATGAAATCCATACTCTGAGCTCTGAAATAAATGTATAATAGGTTTGAGCCAAGTAGGGTACACGTTTTTCCCAGAGTATACTAGAAAGCCTCGATCGTCACGTCGATTCTCTCTCGAACGTGGCCAAGAGACTCAGAGACTGGATTCGTTATTTTCGAAATTAATATTGGCTTTTAGGCTGATTTTGTGATATAGCGTACGGCACTCGAGGATCTTCGTCGACATAATTTTCTCAACGTTCCTACGTAAGTCGAATCACGCCGACGACGGACGACGATGACGCGCGGGACGTTACTGAAGTCGTGCGCGCGCGCTTTTGTGTCTATGTATGTGTCAAAGTAGGGAAACAAGAAGGAAAGGAAAGAAGAAGTATGTATAGTTGTATACACAACCGGGCTTGGGGGACAGAGTGGCTCTTCGCCGTACACGACTAGCACTCTCCGTATAGGCAGGAGAAGTTAAGCGGTGGCGTGCAGCTGCGAAGCGACAGTCTATTTAAAATCATGAAGCGACCCGAAAGAAACACGATCTCATTTTATCTCTCTCTCTCTCTCTCTCTCTCTCTCTCTCTCTCTCTCTCGCGCGCGCGCGCGCGCGCTACCCCCTCCGGCAAGGGTCCTTGGGATCCAATCCCCGTACAATTACGTACGCAAGTGTATACGATACGTGTATATGGAGGAGACACGTCTCTCAGCAGCCAGTCGTATTCGCTGCGCTGCGACCCTTGTTGGTTAATCGCGCCAAGCAGCGCATCAGGAACGAAAGTCAAACGGAAAGGCTGACTCGGCTCTCTCGCGTCCCTCTCTGATACTCCGATACGGAAGGGAATCGGTATACCGTCGCGACGCCGACGCAGCCAGTGAAGCTGTCGCTTGCCGCAAGAGCCTTTTAAAGCTCGATCAAAGGTCGGGCCCTATCCGGTCTTTATTACACCTACGACCTACGAGGGAGCCAGCTATCACTGTCATCGAATTTCCCACATGTCTGACACGTGTGCGCGCGCGCACGTGTGACGAATGCGTCTGCTCCCAGTTAAAACTGCACTACCTACCTTGCCTATACTGCCTATACTACCCTAAGCTACCTGTGCTACATGCGCTACATATGCTATTATACTATGTATATGCACTCTTCGCTTCATTATTCGCATTGTACTCGAATGAATTTCTCATATGAATTCCTCTATGTAATTGCAATGCGTCATGTGGTACAAGCAAACAGTAAGATGTGTAATCTCGTGCGCTTATAGATCGCGCCTAGTTTCGAGTTTTACGGGGAAAATCCTAATAGAGACTGGACGAGGCGCCTCGTGACATTCTGACCTCGCACGTTTAAGTCCCAAGGTGCGACTTGCAGACTTTCGATCACCGCGTTTCGCCTTTTCTAGTCATTCTCATCTGCTGCAATTTTACATATGTTCGTTCGAACAAAACGATCCTTTTATTCAGAATTCATACGTTTGTCTTCAACTCATTCGAATCGTCGTCTTTGGAAATAATGTATGCGCCTGTGATACGTGAATGTGGCGCATGATAATTTATACGAATAAGCATTTATGCCTTAGCTGCAACTGAATTGCTGTGCCCGCTGAAGCGTTGAGTTTTGCGTCATTAAAATTTGAAAAGGAAATACCGTTCATTTATAATTATATGTATGTATATGTCGTCTAGTCGACGATATTCGGTAGAATCGTTACCATTAAGTCGGGCCAAATGAGTCACTGAAACACGTGACCAAGAAGAATTTCGAGTCATGGCAGTGAACAGCATACCGTTCTGACCTAGATCATCAAAAATGGGAAAGAACGCGCACTCAGCCAGCCAATAGACAGACAAAAAGACAGACGAACAGAGAAAGGAAGTACGACGAAAGTTATTCTGGATTCATTCATCTTCTCTAGTTGTAAGAATATGTCCGGAATTCCACAGTTCATCGTGACGCATTATAGTATAAAGATAGCAGCGTGTGCGTGTGCGTGTGCGTGTGCGTGTGCGAGCTCGCGCGCGCCTATCATAGTGCTCGGTCAGTCGGACGACGAGTGCTAACCGTGAACGTGTTCGAACTGGTTCGAACGTAAACGAGAAAACTAGGAGGACAGAGACGGCTGTGCACATCGTGGGAAGCTGAGAACGTGACACCAGGTGGGAGAGATGCGTCGGCGGGACTGCGCCCTGCGTATAATATTGAGAAGGACGAGAGTGGTGAGAGAAGCAAGCAACAGAGGGTAAACAGGGTAGACAGGGTCGGAAGGGTGGAACGGGCAGGCAATTGGGGCAACGTCCTTTCGAATATGCGTCGAGTGTTAAAAGAGTTATAGACTGTAGAGGAAAGACCGAGAGATTGGGGCTTCTGACCTCGCTCGGTCTGTTTCGCTGAACGAAGACGCTGGGCGTCGGTATCGTGCCCGTTGCCAGGTAACCGCTACTTGGCGTCGTCGATATACATTTGCTTCACTCTCATATTCACAGGCACACGATCACCCACCACAATGTATGTATGTATGTACAGACGCACGACGCGACGCACAAAGCAGAGGCTACTTCACGATTATCACTGAAGTCAGTAGCTATACTATACTTGTGTTACTCGAAAATCGTTAAGCACTCTAATTCGCTGTATTATCATCCATGACGTCTGTAATAACTATCGTGACGCTATGAAATGTCACGTGGTTGACTTTCTTATCGTATAGTCAACGTGCTCTGTGCAGAGCACGTGTGACTTTGACTTTGTCGTTCGATATGAGATATCGCCAAGAACGATAATGATTCGTTATACAGGGTATAGCCCATGGGAACCTGCTGGAACTAATCAGCTGTTATTTTTATTTAACGCAGACAAGAAAGGGGAAATGTTAAATAGCTTTGCATAGAGAAAATTTATTAATTATATTAAATTTTATTAAAAATCACAGCTGAGTAACTGGAACAGCTTCCCACGGAACACCCTGTACATTGATACCGCAGTCATTAATGGCAGAAGCCCATCAAAGGGAATCTTGTCTTCTTTAAATTGACGTGAAAGTGTCTGTCCCCCTTTCGACATTCTTGCGCGGGACCCACATTAACTTTTTTACATGATAATCGACTTATTATGTGACGGCAACAAATGTCGCTGCGGAGAAGCGATAAAACAATAGCGATTCCACAAACGCCACGTCACAGGATGTCGCTCGAACGCGCGCCAATTATTGAAAACTCTTGCGTTTTGTTTTGCCGCTACAATCGCGTGGACTGCCCCCCTGGTACATTCCGAGTGAAACATAAAGGTTTGAGGAAGTCATAAAAATCACGTTGACCCAGCAGCATATGGGAATCTCCGTTATGTTAGGTTACACGTTTATAGCGTGCCTCGTCACTGACACCAGACTCCTCCTCGTAGCTCTATGAGAACGTATGTACATTAGCTCGAACGAACGAACATACATTAGCTCACGGTGAAAGTAGCATACACACGCTCTTAGCCCCTTATACAACACATCTACCATGGCAAAGTAGAATATAGGTAAAGAGAAAAAAAAAACAGAAAAAACTTTTTTTAGCTTAGTTCGTCAGATCTAAGGAAAAACCAGAAGCCGCTGTATTTGATGAATGCGTGATGAGAACGTGCAGCGGTTAACAATTTTCTTGGTCACTTATATCTGCATAGCTTATGAAAAAAGTTTATTTGTCGGATACATCGACGGTGAAATTGTATTTTAGGACTTATACATATATTCGGCTTACCCATATGAGCGAGGTCGATGATTGGTATCTCGCATTTGCTTATGAGAGTCTCGCAAGTCTTGCTGGTGGTCACCGGTGCGCTGCTGCAGCTCATCTTTCTCAACCGCTGAAGAAACGTTCCGTTCCTCCCCTTGAAGCCTGACACTCGAAACGCACCTACGTCCGTCTCTCTTTATTGCTCCGTACAACTTTCTCGTTCTTTCTTTATGATGCCTGCAAAATTTTCCTCTTCTTTTTTCTCTTGGCTTTCCTCAATCCAGCTTATGCGCTCTCTCTTTTCTCTCTTTTCCACTTCCAAAATGTACTCTCTCCTCCTTCCGTTTGACTGATTTAATCTCTTTCTCTCTCTCTCTCTCTCTCTCTCTCTCTCTTTCTGAAAACGTCTGCCAATCCCGAAGCGTATCTTCCCGCGTAATGTCCCGAAGATATTAGAGTCGCGTGGTCACACACACGTCGTTAGACACCTCACAAACCGCGAGCGTATGTTACACTAGAATATCCAGGAAAAGATCATAATATCACAGTATTAATCAATCAACGACGCACAGCCAGCCCCGAGAGGCTCGAATGGCACACGATGGTCAATCGGAAACGGCGACCCTAACGGTAGCCGTACGAGACGAGTTTATTGTGGGGCTGATGGTGCGGCAGGTAGACGTGTACGTGGCTGTGGACTGGTGGGCACATGCTACGCTCTCGACGAAGTGGCGAACTAGCAGGAACTAAGTGATTGGAAATGATGGCACGCGGGCCCTGTTCACGGAACACAAGTTGGTTGGACCCGCGCCTCGCCTCGCAACCTTCCGACATCGGCCGAACGCGCACGAGCGCGCACGAGCGCTCACGAGCGCTCACGAATACCTCCGAGACAATACGGAACTGCTCGATCGGCATCGCACGACGCGCTTCGCATTCGATACCAGCGAACTCAACCAAGACGTCTCATTTGAAGTGCGTCGGGACGCCGTCTCGATTTTTCTTCAAGAATTCACTGAAAAGACTCCTCGCTTAGTTCTCGATATAGTATTGAAATACACATGTCACGAGGAAATTTTCAGGTTGGATGTAAAGTCACACAATGTTTCGCTGAGCTGCTCGATGGTCCCCTCACGAAATAATGACTTTCTTTTAGTTTTCTCAGACCTAGGCCGATGGCTGGTTGAAGCTGCCCGCGCGTGATGTTCTAGCGAAAGGTTCCAGAGAATTCTTGATTCTCATACATTGCAAAGTACATAAATTCTGTCACGTACGCCGTCAGTGCAAGTTATGGACAAGGTATGGGAAACAAATTGCGAACCTACTATTAAAGAAAATGAGACCCGAGTCCTTTCGATGTCGGACGAGTATATTGCGCTCGAACAGCATGAAACGTGCCAAACAACCAATTATTAGAAACATGTAATAATTACGTCAAAATTGTGACGTAATCATAAAACAGTCGAACGTTTCCTTGGATCTTGGCCAATTAATTGCGTCTCGAAGAGTTAATTTGAGGCACAGAATACAACAAAATGTACATACGTTGTGTGCGCCACAGGTGAAAGGAAGAAACTTAAAACGATAAGCCGAACAAGATAAATTATTCGGCTCGCGCGAGAGTGTGAGTACACCAGAGAGTGTACTTGATTCGTGGCTCTTCTGATTTTTCTTTGTTTCTCGACAGCAGCGAAGAAGGAAGGAACGGCAAAAATATGAAACTCAGTGTCGAGAGGCGAGCAACGAGACAGCAAGAGCGCATTCTATTAAAGTCCGATTACTATGTGGTATGAGCTCAGTGCCAGCGGAGACTCTCTGTCGGTTTGTGCAAGGGAAGGAGATTGTCAGGGAGGACGGCATTGTGCGATGGGGTCTACGGGACGGACGAGTGCGCTGCTGCCAGGAGTCGGCAGGATCGCCGAGACGCGATAGCACTGCGATACCTGGATACATTTGACGTGTTCGATAGAGAGGTCGAACGTCGAACGGACCCTGCTCTTGTTCCCATAGTCAGGAATCAAACTGCCAGACTGCCAGAATGTCAGACGTAGATTTCTTCTGATCGACAGTCAAATTTCGAATTATTTCTTTCTTATTGCCGCGAGAAAAAAACTGTCTTGCGACACATTACCAAACTGTGGCACTACTACTTGACGGGTGCGCCAGTCTTTGGATTTTTAACAGAACAGAAGTCCTTCCTGAAGAATACAGAATCAAGACGTACGCGAATACATTTTTGTTTTTCCTTTATTATTCGCACTCACTGTGTACTCAGTTCTAATGGCTAGCGTCATTTAAAAAGCGAGTTTCAAGATGTTTCGCCCGACAGCCACGTGCTAGTCATAAATATCTTTGCCTTGATAAATCGGTCGTTTATTTTCTCTCTATTTCTTCCTTGATGTATATAATTACGTATGACAATTGAATAGTGACAATTGATTGAATTTCTTTAATTCTTCACTCGAGTCTCTTTAAGCATACAAGGCGCACAAGATCCACGATTTGACAAATCCTCACTCGTGCGAATGGTCCGATTCGCAACCTTTCGATTCCGGTCCGAAACCGCCTGACAGATCTGGCAGATCCGCCTGCTTACCGATCTACAAACGATATCTGCGACCGGCGACAAGCTTTTTAATTTCCACGGAGTCCTCGGAACTCGCTCGCCCGTTCGGAACTTCCGAATTGCTGCGGGCCTCGTCGCAACGCGAACTACTGCGTACCGACTGGTTCTGACGTTTCGAGTCGCTCAATGAATTTGCAACGTAAGATTCGGCCCTTCCGTTCCAGGAGGATGATGGTGATCATCGCGATGATCAGGAGCACCAGGTGTACCGCGCGTGCGCCCTCTCTTTGGCAATCAGCCTCCTCGCTCCTCTACTAATCACGAGATATTCCCGCTGCAATAAATATTTTCCACTTTGTAAACGCGAATTGATCTGCAGAGAATAGCGAAAGCTTCAAGGCAATTGTCGCTCGACTGGAAAGAGACATCTTTCCTCGGTCGTGACGATCGTCATTCTCATTATTGTCATTATCATAGGTTCGTTGATCGCATCATTCTCAAATAGCCTTTTTTGTTCGTTAAATTCCCACTTTTTCAAATATTAGCATTTCGTAATTCGCCCACTTTCCAGGAACAATCTTCTCAATCTTCTCAATCTTCTCAATCTTCTGCCAGCTCTGGCACTTACGAATGCACGGCTTTCCTCCTAGCACGTTTACGGCGTCTTGCATGAAAATTTGATTTTTTTCTTTATTGGATGATATCGTCGCGAAGTTTCGATTCCTGAGGACGTGTCTCGCGAACTGTGTGTCAGTGACGACTCGCTGAAATCTCGTCTTCTCGTTCTACGTGCTTTCGCTCGACTCCTCGAGGATTGACTGCTGCCCTCATCTCGATGACCTTTCCCCGCTCGTCTACTTCGCGAACTGCTCGCGACCGATACTGTGAAGTCCGACCGACTGGCAGAAGTCCCGTTTCCGATGTACGACGATGACCTGAAGCTGAGTATCTGAGTAAAGTAAAAGACGCTACTCTCGTTCCTCTTAATGGAGAAACGGCGCCGCGCTCACCTGCCCGGTACTTGGGGATTTGGCAAGTGGCGCGTGGTGCATTCGACGGCTTCGCGGGGGAAGGGACCTTCCGGCCAGGAGGCGATCTATAATATAAGAAAAAGGATGAAGATGACGTAATCTTGAGCGATAATCCTGAGCGTCCATGGTAACCTACTTTCGCCAAAAGAAAGGTCAAAAGCACTTGAGTCATTATCAGCAGTGCAGTCATGGCAGAACCTACGAAAACCTTTCTGAAGACTGTATTGCCGAGGGGCGTGGCACATCCTTTGGTATTTATGCTGCTCAGATCGCTATCCGTCATCTGATAATGTACGCAAGGTAGCATCGCCTTCAAATTGCAGCAACTGAATGGGACAGCGCGCGTCCTGTATTCCTCGTCGGATATTCTATCCTGCGTCTCCGTCTCGTCCCTTGGGCCATAATCCGAATTCTTATCGTAATTCGTTAAAGAAAATCAATAGAGTCCAAGAAGTTTTTACGAATTGCAAATTAAAATGATAAACCTGCCAATCGAAGAGGAACCAATCGACGTAGGAGAGCGAGCCGCAGCACTGTAAATCGAACTGCAGCAGATCCAATTTGCGTCTCCATTCAGCCGAACTGGAGTACAGGCGCATCGTGCTATTGAGAAGTTTGACTCGAGCCTTGGAACCGATACTGACGTCAAATCCCACCAGTGCCAAAGCTGCTGCATTCAATACGACACAGCTGAGTAATGCGAGGGACAGGCGCTTCGATACCTTTTCAATATTTGAACGGCTGGTTCGCATGCGGTGCTGCCTGCGCGAGAGATGCTGCAGCTAATTTCGTGAAAATAAAATATAGCTATCGCGAGTCCGTTATTACTTGCGAATAAAGTCGAGACTTCCTAGTGCCGACGTTAATCCGACGATGCTCCCGAGGAAGACGAGGACGATCGACCTTGCGCCGCCAGCGAATTCGATCACTCGCCAGTCCACGATCACCTCCAAGACCAGGAGGACGAAGCGCTTCGCTTCTAGAACGGCGAGAGTCACTGCCACCCCGTCACTCGCTCGCGCTTCCGCTCGCGCTTCACTCTCGCAATTACAGCAGGACTTCCCAGTCCTTCGGCAGTCACTCTTCAGGACGATCCTTCTTTTGACTTGCTCGCTACCGCAGAGGCATCCGATCCTCTTCATTCGACGTTAAGCATTTATCAAGCTACTCGAGATTGCACGGCTGTCGCGTAGTCGAACCGAAATCAAACAGTAGCAACAAATTTATACTGTTGCCAATTTTTTACACTAAAGGTCTGAGCTCTCGAAAGCACGGAAATTTCCATGCGTCGCCCCCGGCGATGACACTGCCAATTAGCCTTATACGAGTGTGCGTGGCGAGGAGGCCGGAGCGAAGGGGATCGAGGAATTGAAAAGAAAAAATGTAAAAACAGCACGACTGCAGTCTTAACGGAGGTTTAGAATTAGCCGATGTCACGAGCGTTATTCAAGTCTCCCGCAGGCAGGATATTCCTCCGATTATTCCTACATTGTCAATGGCAAATACGTATTACATGTATACTATGTGAATAATGCGAGGAAGTTCGAACGCGTAACGCGTCTCTCTCTCTCACTCCCTCTCACTCTCTCACACACGCAGGAATCGATACACGAGTTAATGAGACGTGATGTGACGAATGAAAATACATAAAGAAACGAAAAAAATAACAAAAGCGTTTTATTGTATCATCCCGTCTGTGAAAGCTGACTGAGCGTTGTAGATATCGCTAAAGGCGTGTATCCTATTTTTCCAACGTCTCAGTCAGTGTCGATCAGTGTCGATCAGTGTCGATCAGTGTCGATCCAATTGACAGGACAAGCGTGACATGCCAACTATTAGTAATTATTAAATTTGCAAATTGATTCTGAAAAAATAGCCACGACGATCGTAAATTAGAGGTTTTCGATAAGCGGTCTCCAGTCCTTCTTTTCTTTCCTCGTCAGAGAATAATGCAGTTTCTAGGGTTAAGGGGCAACGACAACCTACACGCCAACCGACGTCTTTCGGATAGTTATAAAAATTCACCTTGTTCGGACGCTCATCTGCTCGGAGACATTGTACACACGCTGTTACAGCGATAATTCAATCGATCTTAATAATTTCATCAAATTATAATCTAATCGAGAACACAGTCCAATGCAAAGAAACACTATGTCACTATGAAAACATTCTGCGCGCGCTTCCGTTAATTTCGATGCGTCCTTGTCTTTCTTCGTCGCTCATTTTGCACGCAGATTTGCTGCGAGGCTCGATCGGCTCGATCGGCTCGATCGGCTCGAGAGAGATTGACTCTGCACGCGCCACATACGAATTTATTATACCTATTGTTCAAGGGTGGGGCAGCATGTGGCGCAGCAGACGGTCCACTCGTATGTGCATATACATATAATACACACATATATGCCAGTTTCTCGTAATAAAGTTTAACGTCTCTATAGCTATAGCATCTGAAGAAAGAATTAAACTAAAACCTTGTTTCCCGTAAATGAAAAGTTTCCCGTAACTTGTGCGCGACGACGTCTTCCTCGATTATTGGAACATCGTAAAGAGTGGACGTTGAGCGCTGTCTTTTGTTCTGCCGAACCGGAACTCTTGAGGCGCTTCACTCGAGGTGACACTTGAATATGTTAACGCGAGACTCTTCTCGGCCGAAGCTCCAGTAAGCCAGGAACGGACAATTTTCGGTGAGATAAATGGCCAGTCTCATTTGTCCGTTGAAAAATGTTCGAAAGATAATGGACCACCAGCATCTTCTCGGCAGCAAATTATCGTGAACAAAGAGTTGAAGTCCAAGAATGAATCGACTGTAGAGTGACAAAGTGGTGTTATCTGAAAATCATCAAGTTGAAAATGATAATTTCTCTTTCGTCGATACTCGTAGAAACGTAAGAAAGGATAATAAGATATGAGCAAGAATGAACAGAAGTGGGGGAACCGCCCACCCCGCCCACCCCGC